TTCTTTCTCCACACATGGATAGTGTGGAAATTGGGATCGTAGAAACACCCAGGAGCATAGAAGAGTCCAAAGGCAGATGCATAAATAAATGTGATAAATGTATTTATTCATATAACAAAGCATATTAACTATATACAAAGGCTGTCTTAATATCCATTAGGATAGGGGGCACACAGCGTGTGTGACTACCCCTATCAAAGATCATGTCTCATGGAGAACAAACGTAAAAGAGAGCATGGTGGAAAGGTTAGAGGGGGTTTTATACTCAGTGTAAGCCCCTCCTCTCCACATAGGGGTGGGGGCACTTTCTGCCTCCACTAGTGTCTGTATGATATATGTGCCAATGGCTTGCAAATACTTGACAGTTCCCCTCCTTGTGAGCCAATGGCATGCAAACATACAAATGCAATGCACAACAGATTTTTACCCTGTGAGACATAACTTTTTACACAGATCTTTGTGCCTATCTGCTGGTAGAGGTTTTGTGAAAATATCAGCTGTTTGATATTTGGTCTGACAGTGTGATAAAGATATAAACCCCATCTCTACTAGTTGCCTAACATTTTGATAGCGGATATCGATATGTCTGGACTTTTTTCCCACTGCATAGGCTTTGGCAATGCCTATGGCCCCGGTGTTGTCTTCTATAATTTGGATGGGCAAAGTCGGTGGTGTCCAGATGCTAGAAATTAAGGCATCAAACCATATTAGATCGTTCCCTGCCTCTGATAAGCATGCATATTCGGCCTCAGCGGTGGAGCACGAAACAAATTTCTGTTGCCCCACATGCCAATGGATGGGTGCCTCATTTAATAGTACCAAGAAGCCCGAAGTACTTCTACGTGTCTTGGTATCTCCGGCCCAGTCCGCATCCGCGAAGCATTTTAATTGGGCCTTGTCTCTATTCTCAGGTTCCAAGCGAAGCACATAATCTGCTGTGGTCTTGAGATACCTTAATAGCTTTTTAATGGCCAACCAGTGGAACTGGGTAGGATGTTCCACTTGTCTAGATAGCAGGTTTACGGCCAGGGCAATATCTGGACGGCTCCAGTTACTTATATATAGTAATGAGCCGATCACTGACCTAAATAGAGTATTATTTTGGAACTCTGGGCTATCCTTGTGTGCCAATCCATAATAGTCGGTCTGCATTGGGATAGCCGTTGGCTTGCTATCTTCCATTTTACATTTCACCAAGAGTTCCTCTATCTTTTCCTTTTGGGAGAGAGCAAAACCTTTTGGTGTAGTGATGATTTGTATGCCTAGGTACTTGTCCACATATCCTAAAGACTTTAGAGTGAACTTTTTTTGTAGGGTCCTGGCAAATATAATACTTCCCCCTTTGTCAGGCCCTATATATAAAAGGTCATCGACATAAACTAGGACTTTCTACAGCCCCCCTTTGGTATCCCTTGTGAAGGTACATTTATCAGCTGGAGATGGATGGAAACCCAGTGATTTGAGAGTTTTAGTCAGGCATTTGTACCACAGTCTGCCTGATTGCTTGAGGCCGTACAAACTTTTCTTCAGAAGCCAGGTGTGGCCTTCCTGCTGTTGAAATCCGGGGGCACCTCTGACGTAAATTTCTTGTTTTAGATGTGCGTGTAAATAAGCAGTTTGCACATCAAATTGAAAAATGTGTTCCCCATGTGCTGCTGCGGTGACCAAAGCAGCCCTCACACTTTCCGCTCTCACGGTGGGGGAGTATGTTTCATCAAAGTCCTGCAAGTAGCGCTGTGCGTAGCCTTGTGCTACCAGCCGAGCCTTATAGAGGAGTTTGTTGTTGGGCATTGGCTTGACCTTGTAGACCCAACGGGTGCCAATTGCTTTCCTCTTTTTGGGGACTTCCATGGGGATGAAGACTTTCAATTTTTTGAGACTGTCCATTTCCCGCTCCATTGCCACCCTCCACCTGCGCTGTTCTTCCTCGGGAAGCTGGAGGACATCTGAGTACGTTTTAGGGGCCATGGTAACGCTGTTGACCGAGGCAACACAGCCAATGTCCAACCTTTTGGGTGGCACCCCTTTATTGGAGCGTTTTGACCGTCTGGGAAATTGCCACTCACCATCATCATTGTCATCCGGAGCATCGGTGTCAGAATTGGAGCTGCCGGAGGTATCTTTCCAATCAAAATGGGGCGGGCCTCTGTCCCAGGCGCTGCAAAGATATGGTCGTTTAGGTGAGGCAGGAGGTGTGAAGTCACCCAGGGATTCCTTGTCTGAATCGTCAGAGTCAGGTAGGGATTCATCACCATCTGGATCTTCGCTGGTCAGTTGCTTGGAGTTTGTTGGTTCATCCTCTTCAGGTGGTGCTGCTTGTTCAGTGTCGCTTCTAATAGGGGAATAACCGGGTTCATTGGAATGAATTTTTGACCAATTTGACCCCTCCTCAAAGGAAGCTGATCTAGAGACAATGACAAGGTTATTTTCGTCTACAAACCTAGAGGCCTTGCTGCCGGTTGCATAACCTATAAATCTGAGCCTCCTTGATGCCTTGCCCCCCTTTCTTCTGAGGTGCTTGGGAATATGGACCCAGGCATAGGAACCAAAAATTCTCAGGTGTGAGAGGCTAGGTTTCCTTCCGTGGACCAGGAAGTATGGGGTTTGGTTAATGGCACTACTCCATGTCCTGTTGACTAGATAATTAGCCATTTTGACCGCTTCTGCCCAAAAAACTTGGCTCATGTCAGCATCTGCAAGTAGGCAGTTCATGACATTCTGCAGTACACCATTTCTCCTTTCTACAATGCCATTCTCGGACGGAGTTCGAGGGGATGATTTAAAATGGAGGATACCTCTCTCCTTCATCCACTTTTCAAAAATCTTGGATGTAAACTCAGTCCCCCTATCACTCTGCACCTGAGCGATGCACACCTTGTGTTGCATTTGGATCTGGTTGTAAAGATATTTGAAGTTGGTAAAGACTTCAGATTTGTCCTTTAAAATAAATACATGGCCATAACGAGAGTAATCATCTACTACCGTTAAAAAATAACACCCCCTACCAAGGGAGGGTCTAAAAGGACCAACCAAATCCATGTGTACCAGCTGATAAGGGTACCTTGCACGACGGGAAGAGACCTTAGGTATAGCAGCAGTTTTAGATTTTGCTGCCTTACAGATGGCACATTCCAAATAGGTATTACAATTCTTTATCTTAAGCCCATTAGAAAAATCTTGCATTTTCTTAATAACCGGGAAGCTGGCATGGCCGAGCCTGCGGTGTAATATATGAGCACAATCCAAATGTAAAGGTTTACCCATGCATACTTTGTCAACCTTATGTATCTTACCATTACAAGCTTTGGTCTGTTCAGTAATGAGAGTAGGCACTGGATTAATGGTCACCTTAGAGTTCCTCAGGGTTGGCTGAGGAGTTGTGACCTTAATGGGCTCAGCCTTAATGGCTTTGGATGTCCTAGGAGCTGGTTTAAAAGCTTCATTGGTTTTAGGTCCAGGGTCCTTGAGTTTGGACAACCTGGGGGCTGGCACAGAAGCTTTCTGCTCTATCTGGGCGTTAGCTCCCTGAGTCCTCTTGTTAGGTTTCTTGTGCCTTTTGACCTTTGCTTTTGGGGAAAAATAAGGCAAATTGTTGATTTTTACAATATCGCCAACAACACCCCCACTTTCGAAAACATAACCTCCACCCTTCTCAAAAACCAGTTTTACATTTTTATCCTCAGTCAATTTTAAGATGCTTAAAAGGTTGTTCTTGATTGAGGGAACATACAGTGCCCCTGTGACATCTCCTATACCGGGCACATTGATCACGCCTTCCCCAGTTACCTCTGCCTTGTCCCCAGTGGCAACTTTTACTGAGGACTTGAGTGGGTGTAAAACCTTAAATTGTTGCTTCGTGTTGGCTATATGCGTTGATGCACCTGAATCAAGAAGCCACAGCCCCTCAGCATCCTTTATCTGGGAGGTGTGGTTGTCACTAGTGACACTACAGAATTGGTATCCTTTATGACCACCTCCCCCTCTTCCACGGCCTCTTTTATTTTTATTGTGCTTAAGTCCAGCCGTGTTGGCCCTAGAGCGAGGGCACTCCCTTTTAAAGTGACCTTGTATGCCACAGTCAAAACAGGTGGGAAGGGTATTAATCCTTTCACTTGTGTCCTGGCGCCTCCTCTGAGGCCTAGGCCTGTGGTATGCCTCCTTCATTTCTTGTTGTTCCTCATCTCTGCACCTTAAATCTTCCTCAATAAAGCGGCCAGAAAAGTATTCTATATTTCTTTGTTCCCTAGAAACCCCTTCTAGAGAAATAATAAAGGGACTCCAGGATTTGTCTAGGGAGTTCAACATCACACTAATTAGAGTGGATTCAGAAACAGGCTCCCCCCCTCTGTATAAGCTCATCCCTCATGGCTTAAACATTGCCAAATGTTGCCCCATTTTGACACCAGGTTTGAGTTTATAGTTGTGGAAAATTCTTGACAATCTGCTGGTTGCAGCCATATTGTCACTATGGAACAAATTATATAGGGCAGTCCAAACTTCCTGAGCTGTGAGGCCATCTGAAAGACTGGCATAAAGAGCTGTGTCTATAGAACTTAACAGGGTTGTGTAAGCTCTTTTATGCAGGAACTCAATTTCAGGGCTCCAAGGTAAAGGGGGTGGTCTTTTGATCATGTCCATAGTATTTTCTCTTAAGAGAATTATCTGAATCTCTTTACACCATTTTTTAAAATTCTGACCACTTAAATGTAATTTTTCAAAATTATTTGGCAAAGTTACAAAATTATTGCCATTAAACTGCATGGGGAGTTGTTCAAATGGCTAAAAAGAGCCTGTTGTGAATGGCATTGGGATCCCTAAGCCTGGGATTGATTGTTTATGTCTGGCTCCTTTTTGTAGTCCTTCTGTAGTTTGAAGCAACTGGGCACGTGCAGGAAATGGAGCATGCTCCAAAGCCTTTTCTTGTTGGAGCTCCGATCTCCCTCTCTGAGCTCTGAAGTCAGGTCTGGCTGGAGCCTCAGAATAGGCCTGGACATCAGCGATGTGGCGGGGAAGCCTTGGAGGAGTGGGAAGAAGGCCTGGAGATCTTTCTGGAGACTGGAGGCCCATCAGATGAGGTCCATGGGCTGGATAGGCCTGGAAATGTATCTGGATGTCCTCTTCTCCATCAGAGGAGCAGGATTGCAGCTCCGGATCATCCCAGCAGGGCTGGAAAGGTGCGGAGGCCTCAGCCTGGGCCTCCCTGGAGCATTCAGTGAATGGTGAGCGCCTCTGCAGTGGGGGGTGGGAGGCTGCAGGTCCATCTGGGTTCCTCCGGGGGTGGGAGGTTGGATTTGGGGCCCTCCTTAAGTGGGCAGCTGGGTCTGGGACCTCAAGGCGGCCCGTGTGTGGTTGCTCCATAAGTTCCAGGGCAGCGACCAGGGCCTCTATGGCCTCTTTGATGTTTGCCATGGCAGGGGGGGCCTGGCAAGGGGCTTGTGGGTTCGGAGTGGTCCTCTGGGCCGCTGGAATGCTGAACTGACTGGCTGGCGTTGTAGGCCTGGGCTGTGGAGCTGGGGATGGCCTGGCTCATGGTTCTGGCAAAGTGCCCAGGGGAGCAGCCATCTTGGAGGAAGTTGCCTCCGGAAGTGGCCTGGCGGCCATTTTGTTTGGCGGGAAACTGGGTGGGGGGGAGTCTCTCTGGCGGCAGGCGCCATCTTGGAGAGATCAGGCAGGGGAGTCCTTACCGGGATGGCAGGCATCTCTGGTGCTGCCTCCTCAGGCCTCTTTCTGGCTGCTGCCCTTGTCTTCAGGAGGGAGGCGAGCGCTGTTCGGCACTCCTCTTCTGACATCTCAGCCACTTGCCTGTCCAGGCTTTCATCTGGTCCTTCTGCCCCCTCTTCGTCAGTGCTGAAGAAGCCTTCTCCAACATTGCCTGGCTTGGCCCCTGGGGTCTCTTGCTGCATCTGGGTGGCCTCTGGCTGCCAGGGTGTAGCTGGATGGAAACCCCCTTTGATGTTTTCCATCGTTGATTCAGACTGGGGCTGCTGTGAAGTTCTCCTCCGTTGAAGGCCTCTGGTCACAACAGGGGAGCTTCTCTCACAGGTTATTTTGGAGGGCATCTCGCCTTTTCAACAGCTCCTGGAGTGGAGTTCTGCTACCATTCCTCTGCTACCATTCTGTGGAAATTGGGATCGTAGAAACACCCAGGAGCATAGAAGAGTCCAAAGGCAGATGCATGAATAAATGTGATAAATGTATTTATTCATACAACAAAGCATATTAACTATATACAAAGGCTGTCTTAATATCCATTAGGATAGGGGGCACACAGCGTGTGTGACTACCCCTATCAAAGATCATGTCTCATGGAGAACAAACGTCAAAGAGAGCATGGTGGAAAGGTTAGAGGGGGTTTTATACTCAGTGTAAGCCCCTCCTCTCCACATAGGGGTGGGGGCACTTTCTGCCTCCACTAGTGTCTGTATGATATATGTGCCAATGGCTTGCAAATACTTGACAGATAGAGCAACCTGACATCTGTTCCTAAAAAGGGGGTCCAAGGGTTTCAGTTCACATGACATCATAATGACTGTTGTGATATGAGATAATACTGTTACCCAGAAGAATTGAAATAAGACTTTAATCCAAAGAAAAGCTTTTCCTCATATGAGAAGTCATGAGTGACAATTTGAAAGGAAATATTACCAGTACTTAGATTTGGCCTTCGGCTTGTAAGAAGGCACTTCCATCTGAAAAGTTCTTGAATGCAATTTTTATCTTGATAGTTAGATACTAAAGTCTCTCTGGGCAAAAAAGGAGGCTCCAAATTTAATTAATAATAAACATATGTTAGTCTTTCTATGCCAATTGGTGTCACAGAATTGTAGTTATTAAACAAAAAGGTTTTTTCTTGGATATCTAGCTGGGCCTTAGAAACTCTCCTTCTGTCACAAGAGTCAGGCTCATGTCCCACTTCTGGCATCAAAAGATACTTGACTTACCTTGTTGGAGGCTCACCTTCTCGTGATCTCGTGTCCATCTTACACAGAGGTGGGCTTCAAAAATTTTAGCAAGAGGTTCTTTGCCCGGTTACTGGGTGGATGTGATCATGGTGGTTGTGGCCTAGTCAGCCTCCTTCACCACAGCAGGAGGGCTTTTTCGATCCTCCAGGAGGGCAAAAATTGCCTCCCCAGGATCCGGAGGCCCATTTTTCACCCTCCCGTAGCCTTTGTGCATGCCCTGCACTTACCTGCATTGCAAACAGGCCGCATGGGGACTCCTGGGAGTGGCGGAGTGGGGTGGGTGGGGCCAGGGAGGAGTGGGATTTGGGGGTTCTCTGAACTGCACAGAATCTTAGCTAGAGGTTGTCCCAAACTCCCAGCAACCCACCCCTGATCTTACATCACAACAATTATTACACAGAAATTAGGCAGTCAGTTTTAGTCTTATTTCATTAGCATGGCAGCCACATGACTTGAGGAAATAAATATATAAAGAAAAAAATAACATTCCCTTTAAGCTCTTATTTGGAAGCACCTTTTGTTTTATAGCTTTAGTAGAAAACTGTTTTGAACCCCTTTCAAAGGGCTTTACAATGTTTTATATAGTCCTTAAGAATTTTTTGCAGCTCCTGCTAGTGAGAAGTTGATTTTTTATCACAGTTTTACTTTTTGAAAATTAATGTAATGGAGTAAAATTTTTAATACATTTATAAATTTAATTTAAATTTAGAATCAATCAATTTATTACAGTCTTAGACCAGAGACCAGAACAAGTAAAAAAGCTCAGTAAATATACAATGAAAAATTCTAGTATAAAATAATAAATAACAACTAAAATCTATAATAAGATCCAGTCTGTCAATTATACATAGTCTAACTATGCTACAATTGCAATCCATCAACTGTGTGGCCCGTTGTAGGTTCAGGGCTAAAAGGGAAAAGACTAAGCAGTACCAAGGCTTTGCCACATTTGTTATATAACACAACTATGGTGGAGAAGACACGTGTTTGCGATGAATCCCCAGTGCTGCTGTGCAGAATCTGGACACATAAACTTCGTCCTTAAGCAGCCACTGAAGATAGGAAGAATCGGAACAGCCAGGATACCTACCAGTAGCAGTTATTGCAGAATATGCTTTTTCCTAATCTCTGTATAAAAGCAACATCTAAGGATCATGTGACCCACAGTCTCCACCTCTCCTGAGCTGCAGGAACAGAGTCTTTCCATCAATGGTATCTTTTTATACTTGCCGTACAGGACGGCCGATGGAAGTGCATGGCACCGTGCTAGCAAAAATGCTAAATTTAATGATGAAAATTTACAGTTAAATTAAATACAATTTAATATGAATAGATAATCATACCTGAATGTCATGGATACCTGAAGAATGGAGGAATGCATGTTAAGATGGCTATAAGGAGGAAGCCACTGGTTGTCCTTTAAGGCTTAAATATTTTTTTAGTTCAATCCTTCCAGACTTTATTTAGTAGAAAAGTACCTTATTGCAAAGGGATCTACCAGAAGCAAAAGCGAGGAACTAAATGAAGAAACCGCAAGTTCTTATAGTCATTTGGAATTAGTCAGAAATTTTATATTCATCTAAGTGAGGCCCATAGAGTACTGGACTAATATTTACATTGATCTCTATTCTCCATGGATGGTCAGTCCTGACATGTTTTCTTTGGCATTCCTTATTTGCCTGCTTTAGAGTTTCCCTCAATCCAAATGTGTGGAAAATTGTCATCCTGGATTTGTCAAGCAGGCTCGAGAAGGAGAGCCGGTTTGCTGCTACGACTGCATTCCTTGTCCAAAGGGGACCATCTCCACTCAGGAAGGTGGGTAACTCTGCATGAGGAATGCTGGATTCGTCCAGAGCATCTAGATTGAGATACATGTTGAAGACACATTTAATTTTGAATACGTTACTGTTTTTCTTCCATAATGGGAGGAATAAGAAAAAGATCTTGAAGGATGAGATTGGAAGAGATAGGAGGACATGGTGGATTCTGCAAGGTTACTTATGCCAGGGAAAATCTCTCTTCTACTTGTCAGTTTAGAAGTGTCCTGTCATCTTACCTTTACTGGGAACATCTGAATTCTTTGAAATGTGAGAAATTGTTTCAGATTAGTGGTGGGATTCTACTGGTTCGGACCGGTTCGGACAAACCATTAGCTCCAACTTTCAGCCATGAGTGAACTGGTTCTCTCTTTCTTTCATGTGGGCCCACCCGCCCACCCCTGCATTATACTCACCTATATTTTTGCTTCCGAAGCCCAGCTGATCAGGGCGGCAGAGTGGATTGCCGCTCCTCAGCTGTTTTCCTTTCTCTCAGTAACGCGGAAGTTCACTTTTCTACCAATTGCGTAAACACGCACAGCGAATCAGTCGAGTACAGCGCGCGCTTGGCGAACCAGTGGTTGAACCGGTAGGATGCCACCCCTGTTTCAGATGAATGGCTTTTTCCCATCCAAGCTAACTTTATTTCATACGCCAGTGATACATCAATCAATCATGCAACCAATATTTCAATCAATTCATCCATCTGTCAATCATTATTAAGTTCATAGGGCCACATAAGCAGAAAGAACTAATTGGGAGGATCACAGAGGGAGGAGCTTTTGGGTTCAAGAAACAAGAAAAAACCAAATGGAGGACTCACCATAAAATCCATCAAGAGGATATCCATGTGAGAGGAGAAATGTAAACTAAATTTACCATTATTAAGCATAAAACCTTCCTCTTTCCTCTCAAATACTTTAACTTCTGGTTTAAGAAGTAAAATACAAATATTGTTTATAGCCCATTTCAACCCTCCCAGGTTCAACAAAACCACCATAATGGATTCATTAATAGGATCCCTACTAAGCCTGTCCATCTTAAAGTTACAATTTTATTGGATATTAAACAGTGAAATACAAACAATTACAAACACACAGACACACACACAGACACACAGACACAGACACAGACACAGACACAGACACACACACAGAGAGAGAGAGAGAGAGAGAGAGAGAGAGAGAGAGAGAGAGAGAGAGAGAGAGAGAGAGGAGAGAGAGAGAGAGAGAGACCAAATCCAGTTGTGATTCTAAAAGGAAAAAAAGCTTTAAATTCACTTTTGGGATTAAAAGCAACCAGATATATCAGAAAGGAAGAGGAAAAGAGAATTAATAAAGAACAATCTACGTAATATGCATTTATACCAATGTGAAGTTCATTAAGTCTTTGAAAGTAAATTCATCTTTTCATTTTTAGAAGCTGAAGTCACAATCTCAGTTTCTGTTCTTGTATTAGTTCAGGAATTGATCTTTTTTTTTTTTTACATCAAATCATTTTTATATGAAGTGACTTTGGGTAGAATGTGATTAAACCAACAATGAAACATTTTACAAAACCAACCTAAAGCATGTAACAGAAATAATAAAGATAGAAAAAGGCAACTACATCGCATGTTACATGTGATGCAACCAGTGCCTGGGATCCCTCTCATCCCTTCATTAAGGAATTTCTAGAGGGGCTCAAGGATTGCAGCTAATTTCACACTTGGGGGACTTAATGCCTATTTCCAGCACCGGGCCCACCACCTTCTGTCTTGAAGGAGGCACCCTTCTCAAGAGGCTCACCGTGGACGTCAGCATGAAAGACCAGAGCAGATAATAGAATAGAATAGAATAGAATAGAATAGAATAGAATAGAATAGAATAGAATAGAATAGAATAGAATAGAACAGAACAGGAGTAGAGTAGAGTAGAGTAGAGTAGAGTAGAGTAGAGTAGAGTAGAGTAGAGTAGAGTAGAGTAGAGTAGAACAGAACAGAACAGAACAGAACAGAACAGAACAGAACAGAATAGAATAGAATAGAATAGAATAACAGAGTTGGAAGGGACCTTGGAGCAGTGGTGAAATTCAAATTTTTTACTACCAGTTCTGTGGGCATGGCTTGGTGGGCATGGTGTGGCTTGGTAGGTGTGGCAGGGGAAGGATACTGCAAAATCCCCATTCCCTCCCCACTCTGGGGCCAGCCAGGATGGTATTTACCGGTTCTCCAAACTACTCAAAATTTCTGCTAACGGTTCTCTGGAACCTGTTAGAACCTGCTGGATTTCACCCCTGCCTTTGAGGTCTTCTAGTCCAACCCCCTGCTTAGGCAGGAAACCATACACCACTTCAGAGAAGTGCTTATCCAACATCTTCTTTCAAATTTCCAGTGTTGGAGCACTCACAACTTCTGGAGGCAAGTTGTTCCACTGATTAATTGTTCTAAATGTCAGGAAATTTCTCCTTAGCTCTAATTGCTTCTCTCCTTGATTAGTTTCCCCCCATTGCTTCTTGTTCTACCCTCAGATGCTTTGGAGAAGAGTTTTACTCCCTCTTGATAGACATGCCCCAGATTGGTTCCCTAAAATATTGCCACCTCATTGGTCTTTTGAAGCCTGCTTTTTCTGTTGGAACTCATGCCCTATTGCACACCTTCTTCCTAGAATTCCAACAGGCAACCAGCCTTCTGAAATTCTGGAAAAGTTCCTCTCCCAAATTTTGAGATAAAGTGCAGGATAAGAATGTGGTGTGTTGCATCAGTTAAGGTGGTTGTGACTCTGAGTATTTCTCTTTTGGATCTTATTTCTTCTTGTTATATATATTGGGGGGTGGGGGTTTGCTGGCTCTAAGCTGCCCAAAGTTTGCTTTAAAAAGGTCAGCCAGACGAATGTTTTATATATGTATGCAGCCTCCTATTTACGATTTGCTATGGAGTTCCTGTCTCTCAGTATCAGTTGTCATCCAAAGGTCTTTCTTGAAATGTGAAAGGAGAGACTATAAAAGCAATATTACTTTCTCTTTTGTCAGATACTGAAAAATGCACCCAGTGCCCAGATGATCAATATCCAACTGAGAACCGAATCCAATGTATCCCCAAAAGAATAACCTTCCTGTCCTATGAAGAAACTCTCAGCATCATCCTGATCTCCTTTGCCCTAATCTTGTTCCTAACCACAGGTTTTGTTTTACTCATATTCCTTCAATACCTGGAAACTCCCATTGTCAAAGCCAACAATCGGGACATATCCTACATCCTCCTGGTCTCCCTCCTGCTTTGCTTCTTATCCTCTTTGTTCTTTATTGGCCGACCAAGGAAAGCCTCCTGCCTTCTCCGACAAGCAGTCTTCAGCATTGTCTTCTCAATAGCTGTGTCTTCTGTGTTGGCCAAAACGATCACAGTGGTATTGGCCTTCCTGGCTTCAAAACCAGGAAACAGGATGAGAAGGTGGTTGGGGAAGAGCTTGGCCAACTCCATCATCTTTTCTGGTTCTGGTGTCCAGGTTGTCATCTGTGCCTTGTGGCTGGGAATTTCTCCCCCATTCCCTGACTCTGACCTCCACTCCCAGCCTGAGGAGATCATCCTTCAGTGCAATGAAGGCTCCATCACCATGTTTTATGTTGTCCTTGGCTATATGTGCTTCCTAGCCACCATTTGCTTTACTGTGGCTTTTTTGGCAAGGAACCTGCCTGGGGCCTTCAATGAAGCTAAGCTGATCACTTTCAGCATGCTGGTTTTCTGCAGTGTCTGGATCTCCTTCCTGCCCACCTACCTGAGCACCAAAGGAAAGTCTATGGTAGTCGTGCAGATCTTCTCCATCTTGGCCTCCAGTGCTGGGCTGCTGGGCTGCATCTTCTTTCCCAAATGCTACATCATCCTCCTGAGGCCAGATCTAAATACAAAGGAACACCTAATGACAAAAGTAGGGAAATAATAGTGAAACTGTTTTTAGGCTCATAACATTTCATTTTTCATTGCCGTTTTTGTTGTGCTTGTATTCTTCCTTTGCATAAATTGGACAATAAGATTATTAAAACACAAATTAATAGAAATATGAAGTGTTTAAGAGTTATCAAATTATAATACAATATAAACTTCAAACAGTAAAATAACTGAATAATTCAAATTTTCATTCAGCCAGAGAGAGACAGGGTAAGAAATAATAAAATAATAAAAAAATAAGTTATTTTGATATAAGACACATTTCCCAAAAGAAAGTGAGAAAGTGTATTATTATTTATTATTATTATTGCGATTTATATGCCGCCATTCTCCCGAGGGACTCAGGGGTGCTTACAAAAACAATATCCAATACAAATCACAATAAAATTAAAATCAACAACTCAATTAAACAATTTAAAATTATAACAATGTACACCCATAACGGATTAGTTAAATTGACGGAAGAGCCACGTCTTCAACTCACCACGGAAGGAAAGGAGGTCGGGGGCTGTCCTGAGCTCGGTGGGCAAATCATTCCAGAGGGTCGGGGCTCCCACAGAGAACGCTCTCCTCCTGGGGACCATCAGCCGACATTGTTTGGCTGAAGGCACCCTGAGGTGGCCCACTCTGTGAGAGTGCACAGGACGGTGGGAGAGCAGCTGGAGATGGACCTGCAAGTACCCTGGGCCTAAGCCATTTATTTATTTATTTATTTATTTATTTATTTATTTATTTATTTATTTATTTATTTATTTATTATTCAAACCTTCTCCTTTCGGACTCAGGGCGTTGAACAGCCAAAATAAAAACATTTATACATAACATTGCAATTAAAAATAGATTTAAAATAATTAATAAATTTGGCCCATAATTTAAAACTTGTCAATTTAAAATCAGTATCAAAATTTTAAAACCAACCCTAAAATCAAGACAGACCGGCTAACTGAAAAAAGTAAGTTTTTAGGGCCCGACGAAAAGTCCGGAGGTCGGAGATCACTCGTATCTCTGGGGGTAGATTATTCCAAAGGGTAGGTGCCACCACAGAGAAGGCTCTCCTCCTGGGGGTCGCCAGCCGGCATTGTCTGGCCAACGGCATCCTGAGGAGGCCCTCTCTGTGGGAGCGAACTGGCCGGTGGGAGGCTGTTGGTGGCAAAAGGCGGTCCCGTAAGTACCCCGGCCCTAAGCCATGGAGCACTTTAAAGGTGATCACCAACACCTTGAAGTGCACCCAGAAGTCCACTGAAACCCAATGCAGCTCGCGCAGGAGAGGAGTCACATGGGAGCGCCCCGTCGCTCCCATAATCCCCCGCGCGGCCATATTCTGCACCAGTTGGAGCCTCCGGGTGTACCCCAAGGGGAGCCCCATGTAGAGAGCATTACAATAGTCCAACCTAGAGGTAATGAGGGCGTAAGTGACCATGGCGAGGGCATCCTGGTCTAGAAAAGGGCGCAACTGGCACACAAGACGCATCTGTGCAAAGGCCCCCATGGTTACGGCCATCAGATGGTCATCCAAGGACAGCCAAGAATCCAGGAGGACGCCCAGATTGCGAACCCTATCGGAGGGTGTAAGAGTCTCCCCCCACCCCCCCGATCATTAAAGTTGGAACCTCCAGATCCCAAAATGTCGGCATCTACAGCCACTCAGTCGTGGAAAGGTTGAGTCTGAGTCTGTTCCTCCCCATCCAAATACGCACCACTTTCAGGCAATGGGACATCACGGAAAGGGCATCACTAGGGTGGTCAGGGGTGGAGATGTAAAGCTGGGTATCATCAGCATATTGATGATACCTCACCCCAAAACCGCAAATGATCTCACCCAGCAGTTTCATATAGATGTTAAAGAGCGGGGGAGAGAGAACCGATCCCTGAGGCACCCCACAAGTGAGGGGCTTCCAGGATGATCCCTGACCCCCCGCCCAAGCAAACTACAAGCGACCAGAGAGGTAGGAGGAGAACCACCACAAAACAGTGCCTCCTATCCCTATCTCTCTGAGCCGCTGCAGCAGGATACCATGGTCGATGGTATCGAAAGCCGCTGAGAGGTCAAGAAGGACCAGGATGGAGGAGCAACCCCCATCCCTGGCCCGCCAGAGATCATTTACTAGAGCGATCAATGCCTTTTCCGTGCTGTGACCATGCCTGAAACCAGATTGGTAAGGACCCCTTCCCTTAACAAAGTGTTGGCAACAACCAGGATCCAGTCTCCAGTCACCTCTCTGGCTGCAGAAACAAGCCAGGAGGGACAAGGGTCCAATAAACACGTGGAGAACCCTAGCCGACCCATAATCCTATCCATGTCATCCAGCAAAACAGGCTCAAACTCAACCCAGATGTTCCCATCAAGACCATCCCCCGTCTCCTCAACGGACTCTGTCCAGTCAGAGTCCAACACAGCCCGGATCTGAGCGATTTTATCAGGCAGAAACTGTGCAAAGTCCTCAGCTCGGCCCTACGAGGGGTCCTCCCTCGCTCTCTGGTTAAAGAGAGAGTGGGTCACTCTAAACAGGGCGACTGGGCAGTTTTCTGCAGATGCAATGAGAGTGGCGAAATAATTACATTTCGCCACTTCCATCGCCACAAGATAAGACCTAATATAGGTTCTTAGTTGTGTTCGGTCAGATTCGGATCGGGAGGACCTCCAAACACCACCCAGGAGTCTTTTCCAACATATGTTGCCTAAGATGGGATGAATATGGAAACCTAAATCTTTGAACACTTTCTCTCCTTCTCTTCCTCCCTCCCTCCCTCCTTCCCTCTCCTGTTCTTGAAAGTAGATGAGGGCAGTAAATCTAGATGTTAAGTACACCAGATGTCACTCCACCCCTCCCCGGTTGCAACACTCTAAATGACCTACACTAGTTATGTTGCACATGTTAGATTACATAATAGAATTTGGACCTCAGAATTTCAGGACTTGGTCTTGCGACATCACTGCTCTAACAGCCTTTCTGAACATAACTGAAAAGTAATGATCCAACAGCAAAACAGCATCTGGAAAGCTCAATCGCTTCTGTGAATATTTGATCCAGGGAAGACAAAGAAAACATTCTCATACCAGATTGGTCTTTTATCCAAAGAAGCCACATGATACTCTAGTCCCCAAACTGGAAAGCTTTCGGCATTGTGCTATGTGAATGGGAAAAGAATATATGCTAGATAATGTCAGGAGGATATTCCTGAAATGTCACTATGCTGACTTAACTAGGGAGCTGCAGGGGGAGCCCACCTTCTCCAGGAGCTGCCTAGAGGAGAACTAGCTTTGCCACATCCAATGGTGGGGAAAGGGTTGGAGCTGAAGCCCAAATAGGGGAGCAAGGAGACCTAGTGATCCATTCCCTGAACTTCCCTCCCTTCCTTGAAGAAACAGTACTAAGGAGAAGGGGAAAGGGGAAAAGATCCCTCCCTCCTTCACTTAACTCATAGCCAGAGTCGAATTGGGAATAAAGTTTGCATTTGAAACGGATCATGCGAGACATCTCTCTGTGTTGATTTCCTGTCTAGGGTTTCCTTTATTGCCTCCATTCAAAATGCCTTCAGATTTGGGATAAAGTGACCAAACAAATCAGACAGGCTTGACTAGGTCCCAAGGCCATGGATTCAATTGAAAAAAAAATTTTAAACTCTAGGCCAGGATTTCTGCTTGAACTAAGTTCTTTGCCCAGTTCATTCTCATTAGTCTCCTTCCTCAGTGAGAAGCATCTCCTTCTGGTTTCTTCTGCTGAGAGACCAGTTACATCAAGTATATATTTTTAAACTGTTGGTAATTCTTTTGTTCAGTATGCAGGTTAGCCAATATTTGACTTAAGCAACCCTTTAAGAGAGGACAGATATGAGGGATGTCCTGGACTCTGTGAAAGGTTGGCAGATATCTTCAAAATTATTTAGGATGGTCTTAAACACGTCTCCTTAATAGCTCCATGGGAATCAGTATTCCCATTCCCCTGAGTTCTGTGTAGTACTGGAAGGAAATGGATATTTATCCTCTTTAGATATTTCAAGTTCCTCATTCAAATGTCACCAAATTTCCTCACATAAACTCCCAATCCTCGAGGTCACCACTACTGACTGACCAAAGGTACTTTTGGACTTTTAATACAAAAAGATACTAAAGGTGTTTCAGTCACCAATAAAGGTACATTGCCCTATAGTTCACGTAGTCCTTGACTTACAACAGTTCACTTAATGACAATTCAAAGTTACAATGGCACTGAAAAAAATTGACTCATGGCCATTTTTCACACTTTTGACCTTTGCAGCATTTGAACATACATTTTGATTTACATTCGGATGTTTGACAACTGACTCACATTTATGACGGTTGCAGGGACCCAGGGTCATGTGATCGCCTTTTGCAAACTTCTAACAAGAAAAGTCAATGGGGAAACCAGATTCACTTAACAACTATGTTTTTAATTTAACGACGGTAATGATTCCATTAACCAATGTGGCTAGGAAAGTCATAAAATTGGGCAAATCTCACTTAACCAATTTCTCACTCAGCGACATAGATTTTGGGCTCAATTGAGGTCGTAAATTGAGGACTACCTGTAAAAGAAATACATTTGCCCATCTCAGCAAATTCTGTCCATTTCACCAACCAATTCCTCCATGGTGGGCAGGGCTGAATTTTTCTGAATCTTCCATGTGGAATAGAAAGAAAATGGCTGCTGCTGGGTTAGATTCAAAGTTGACAGTTGCTGCAGCCAACTGTCACTGATCGGAATCTTTGTTCTGTTGCTAGGCAACTAACCTAATGGAACCTCCCTTCTGCACTCCTTCATCCTGGGCCATGACAAGTCAACACTTCAAGAGCCAAAATAAACAGCAAAGAGGACAAAGGAAAACCTTCTCTTGTCCCCTTCTATATATCACATGGTTTACGTAAATCACCATTAATCATAATTGCAGTCTTCTGACACTAATTTCCTTGAATAAAATTCTCAGCAAAGTTCATTTCTTCCAGAACCTTTAGTAAAAAAGACTAATTCAAATCCCAGGTTCCCTCAAAATAGCTTCTGGGTGGATGTGGGAAGAAATAACATCTCACCATCCGCCATACTGTTGGCACTGCCAACATCTCCCCTGCAGCCCTCTCTTTATTTAACAAACAAAGAAAGTTCAAAATATAGAGGATTTCAGTGTCTTACATGAATAGGGAAAGACAACACCGAGTGTCAAAGGAAAAAAAAATTCAATCCCTCCTTTAACTTTCTTTCTATTTAATCAATGATACAAGCTATCACTTTCCTGTCTTTTAGTCACCTCTCATTCAAACTCTGATATTTCTGGAAGAGATGGGAAATGAAATTGCACTTCAAATACTTCAGGAATTTTAAAATCAGCTCCAATTTAAGGTGCATAAATGAAGATTTATTTATTTATTTATATATTTTACAGAATTTATATGCAGCCCTTTTCGCGAAGGACTCAGGGCGGCGAACACAGATTAAAAACATACAATACTAAAAATACACTAAAACCAGATTAAAATAATAAATAATAAAAACCCAAGGATCAGAATCAGCCCATTTGTTGGAATAACCAAGTCTTCAGGCCTCGACGGAAGGAGCAGAGATCTGGGGCTGTCCGGAGCTTGGTGGGTAGTTCGTTCCAGAGGGTAGGGACGCCCACAGAGAACGCCCTACCCCTCGGCGTCACCAGATGGCATTGCCTGGATGACGGTACCCTGAGGAGAGCAACCCTATGGGAGCGGACAGGACGTTGGGAAGCAGGCAGGAGATGGTCCTGCAAATACCCCAGACCTAAGCCATGTAGGGCGCTGAGAGGTCAAGTAGGACCAGGATGGAGGAACAACCTCCATCCCGGGCCTGCCAGAGATCATTCACCAGGGCGACCAATACCGTTTCCGTGCTGTGCCTGCGCTGGAAACCTGATTGGTATGGGTCTAGATACTCCGTTTCCTCCAGGAACTATGGGAGCTGTTGTGCCACCACAGTCTCAACAGCCTTCGCAATAAAGCAAAGGTTGGAGACGGTCCGATAGTTGTTAAGTGAGTCTGGATCCAGGGTAGGCTTCTTGAGGAGGGGTCGAACCACCACCTCCTTAAGCGAGGTGGGGAAGACCCCCTCCCTCAAAGAAGAGTTGATAATTGCCTGGAACCAGTCTCCAGTCACCTCCCAGGCAGCTGAAACAAGCCAGGAGGGACACGGATCCAGCAAACACATGGAGGCACCCAGTCTACCCACGATCCTGTCCACTTCATCGACAGAAACAAAGTCAAACTCAATCCAGGTGTTACTCCCAAGATCTACCCCAGTCTCAAAACTGGATTCCTCCCAGTCAGAGTCCAATCCAGTCCAGATCTGAGGGATTTTTTCATGCAGAAACTACAAAATCCTCAGCTCTGCCCTGCAAGGGGTCTTCCCTCGCTCCCTGATTAAGGAGGGAGTGGGTCACTCTAAACAGGGCGGATGGGTGGTTTTCTGCAGATGCAAAGAGAGCGGCGAAATAATCCCACTTCGCTGCTTCCATTGCCACAAGATAAGACCTAATATGGGTTCTTAGCTGTGTTCGATCAGATTCAGACCGGGAGGACCTCCAACACTCCTCTAGGAAAGAAAATCACAAACAGGCCCTAGTCTTAACTTTAGACAGTGTTCAAGGGACTGATTGCCTCCATAGCTCTGGATGACTTTGGAGGAGAGACCATCTTGAAGGACAGCAAAAGTTACCTGGTTGTTGATATATCTTCATCTATTTTCTGGATGAGTCCTGACAGGAAGGATAACCACCAGAGAACAGGGCCTCCAAGGGTGTATCTGAGATTTTTCACTAACAACCTTTTCTCCAGCTTCTCCTCTGCAGATGGGACCATGGAGTAGTTTAGGATCCCAAGAGGAAAAATTGTTTCTCAGTGTAATGATCACAATTCTGGGTTTGGGACATCTGCTGCTGCTTCTCCAGTGACTACCTTTGATGTAAACATTAGATGGAAGCAACATGCAAAGGTCTTGTATCAGGAAAGAATATAGGCATCAGATCACAGACTGTGTGGCACAAGTTTTGGGACAGGCAGGGACTATGCTTTTGAATATACATTTCTTTCCTTTCAAGATGAAAGTCAGTTTGTCTCTATCTATATTGGGAAAGTCCCTGTCATTTCCACCTTGTAGAGTGTTTTGAATTCTTCTAACTCTTCTTGTTCTTGTTTAGAAATAGGAAAGGGGTTGATTCATCCCTGTGAATTATGGCCCTCTTTCTTCTGCTTCTGATGCTTCTGGTGTCTCAGCAAGTCTCCGGGAAGTTTAGACTGAAGTGCCCTCTGAGCTTGGAGCACCGGGATGAAAGTTATCCATGGAGCTACTATGGGCAAGGAGACCATCTCATTGGTGTAGTCCTCTGTGCCACAAGAATATTGCGTGAAATGTTGCCTTTCAACACGGCTCCAAATAAAAAGTCTCACTCGTAAGTCATTAATGTGTGTGATGGAGTTGCATTCCCTCCATTTACACTTCTGTTCTTTTTATTTCCCTGGCTCCTATGTTACAGGACCTGTCTAATTTCCTGAATCCTTTTGATTTCCAAGGCTTCCCTCTTTTGTCTTCTTTTGCAGAACAGACTCAAATCCAGAGATGGGGCAAGGAAAACACCTGAAAGAATTCAAGATTGTTTCCCCCTCCCTGTCCAGTTCAGAGTTTATCATTTGAATGCTAGATTTTCTTTAAAATAATGATGGAAAGAGCTGTACTTTTCTCTGCCCAGCTCTTTTCCATTCTTTTATAACATCTCATTGATAGCCATTCCCTGATTCTTTTAGAAAGAGAGGATGAGTTGTTTGCAGAATCGCTTTTCCTAGCCACCTATGAAAAAGCCTCTTCTTTTTATGATGGTTCTACTCTAATGATTCAATTAGTTTGAAACCAAGTTAATGAAAATCAGCACTACTACAAAATGATATATTTGTAACTTTTAACCCTGATGGAGGTTAATCTCAATCCCATCTTCTGAACAATAATAAAATGGGTGACTATTATTTGCCCATGGTTATGGATCAGTATTACAATAAGAATCCAAAGAGTAATAAATAAACTTGAACATTATTTTACAGTAAGACATTTAATGATATGGCTAGAGTCGTCCGCTTCATTATGACCATTGAAGAAATCAACAAGAATCAACAGAATCTGCAAAATGTCACCATTGGCTACAACATCCAGAATGACTATTTTAACACAATTGGCACTTCAGAAGCTTTGCTGGACATGCTCTCTACCGGAGATGCCAATGTTCCCAATTACAGCTGTGGAAGGAAGGACAACCTTTTGGCTCTTCTTGATGCAGCTGCCAGTGATATCTCCATCCAGATGTCAACCTTAGTAGGCACCTACAAAGTGGCACAGGTTTGTGTGTGTGTTTGTGTTTCTCTATCTGGTCAAGTGAATGGAACAATAGATCCAACCATTTTGTTTATGCTAGTTAGTTTACTTTATTTTCATTGTGCCTCATAGAATGAAATTAAATGCTGTCTTCATCATACATAAGAAAACTATAAAAATAAAACAAAAACACACATTCACATTCTATACAATTGAATTGAAATCCACTGGTACTGCATTAGTATAACACTACTAAACCGTAGAATTCAATATAGTTACTGCTCTGGGATAGAAGCTCTCTTTCAGCCTATTTGTCCTAGGTTTTATTATCCTGTACCGTCTGCCAGATCATTATCGTTCGAAAAAAAGGGGGAGTGCCCAGGATGAGATGGATCTTTAAGAATATTTTGAACTTTCTTAAGGCAGCAGGACCTATAAAGCTCTTCCAAAGAGGGGAGAGAGCAACCAATGATATTCTGGGCAATGATGCTAACCCTCTGGAGTGCTGTCCTATCTGCCACTCAGCAATTGGCAAACCATACACAGATGCAGTAGGTTAAAATACTCTCTATGGTGCAGCAGTAGAAGATCACCAATTTTTCACCAGTGCTTTTGACCAGTGCTGCAATATGAGTTCCCCAAGTCAGGTCCTCTTTTATGATAACACCCAAAAAGTTAAAATTGGCCACTTGGCTTGGATGTCTGATCTATTCCTTCTGTAGTCCACTATAAGCTCCTTGGTCTTATTGGTGTTAAGGACCAAATTATTGTCTCCACACCATGAAAGCAACCGGTCTACCTCATCTCAATAGGCAGACTCATCTCCTCAGAGATGAATTCCACCACTGTTGTAATTAAATAATAGAATTGCTGGCATGAGTAGGAATATAGTCATGTACATAAACAGTACAGAGTGAGGGAATCAACACACAACCCTGTGGTATACCAGTATTAAGAATAAGGGTTGAGGAGATATGAATTATGGAATTCAAGAACTGCTTTCCACTGTGGTCATTTCAGTTGTCATTCCTATGGCTTACGATCCAGAGTTGGGAAGGATCAAAGCAATCATATCCTCTCATGACACCATCCCCATTGCTTTGGGGCTTTCTGCTACACATTTGAGAAAGTTAGCAGAGGTTCTGTGTCTAGTCAAATTGTCTTCTGTGTAAAAGGAAACTGGAGCAAAGATTGAAAGTTCTTGTTTTGTAGATTATTTTAGCCAAAATAATATTTTTCAATGGTAACATATTCTAGATTCATGGAAAAAGTCCCAGTGAATTATCTTACTTATGCACACCCCTTACAGACCTCTTAGGAATGGGGTGAGGTCAACAATAGACAGTTTAAAGTTAAAATTAGGGGATGTTGAGGATGTAACAAAAGAGTCAGGTAGTGCATTCCAGGCATTGACCACTCTGTTGCTGAAGTCGTATTTTCTGCAATCGAGTTTAGAGAGGTTTACCTTGAGTTTGTATCTATTCTGTGCTCGTGTATTGTTGTGATTGAAGCTGAAGTAGTCATTGACAGATAGGACATTGTAGCGGATAATTTTGTGTACTACGTTTGGGTCGGACCGTAAGTGGCGTAGTTCTAGTATATGAAATATACCATATTTATATTAATTTGTATATGAAAGAGAGATCAGTATCTTAAACCGCACATTAGATGAAGGACTTTTTGGAATCTTTGCATTAAACCAATATATTTTCTTTGCAATCAGAATTTTAAAACGTACTTATAATATGAAACTGTACTTGAACAAAAGAGTTCAGCTGGTATCCCCATATGTGGATCTCATGATGGTAACTTGTAGTGATGATACAGAAATATTATTTGTAGTCTTTATTCTTTTCTGCTTATTATATTATGTATCTTCATATGGGGTCTAGTAACTGATCAACCACCTACTATTCTTATATGTTCATAAGAAACAAATTGGATGGATTAAAAGCTAACATTTGGACTTGATCTGACCCCAAATATAACACAGAATTCTTCATAACTTTTTTTCAGACCAGTTATGAAATTGTTTCAGAGGCTCTGAGTGATAAAAGTCAATTCCCCTTTTTCCACCCGATGTTCCCCAAAGAAGGGATCCAATATCCCGGCATTGTCCAACTGCTCCTCCATTTCAGATGGACTTTGATTGGTCTCTTTGCTTCAGACACAGAAAATGGAGAGAATTTCATGAGGACTTTTACTCGGATGCTTGTCAGGAATGGGATTTGTGTTGTTATATCACAACGATTCTCAACGACTCGATTTACAGCATCTCTCAGGAATGCCATCTCTAAGTGGAGACAAGTCAATGTCTTTCTTCACTCCATTGAACATGTTCCTCTTTTGGAGAGAATTATTCCTTTCCATTTAACATTTAGGCACTTGTCTGGACCTATAGAAGGGAAAGTCTGGATCCTCACAATCTTTGAGAAACATTACATGCGAAGGAACATATATTTCAAGTACATTCATAGTGTATGGAGTTTTCGTTTACAGGAAAAAAAAGTGACAAAAGATAATGCCGTATACAAGTTCCACTTTATAGAACCCCAATATCGAGATCGGTCTTTGCACTGTTCTTTTTCAAAGCATGCCTTTTCTGTCAAAGGTCGTAGAAGATGCACCCAGAAAGCACCAATGGAGGATAAAACAAGCAGCATGAAGATTGTAACTAAAGTAAAAGTTTTCAGTATCGTGAGGACTCTGACCCATGTCTTGAATGCTGCATATGCCTCCAGTTCCAGGAGAAGAAGAAAGAAAGACAAAGAGAAGTTGAGGACATCAAGGCTGCAGCCATGGCAGGTATTGGATCCCAATATACCTTGATATTACAGACTGAAAATTTTCTTCCCCTTCGGGGCTCTCAGGTTGCCTTGATGCTGACCTTCCTCCTCCTCTGATTCAGCTGCTGGAGGGGCCGGTGGCTGACAGGCCATAACAAATGTCTTTTTCTCCCCCTGTTGTTCAATTTATTTGTCATTTACTCTAGAATCTTCCCTATAATTGGCCAATTGTGTTAAATATATTTTCTCAATAATATTTTGTCAGTCTGTGATTGACAAATTTTACTGATTTTTTTTTTTTTTGTTCACTTGTGGAAATAACACCTGTTCTAATTAAGCATATTTACAACTGCTAAAGCTGTAAAGATTTAAATGTGAATAGACCATGTAGGACAGGGGTGTCCATCACATACAAGGCCACACACACACCAGCTCAGCAAAGGCAAAAAATGTCATGATACGTCACAATACATCACGTGACGTGATTCAGTTTGACATCCACGATGTAGGATAAGAAACCAAGGTTTCTGCTTTTAAAATTCATGGACTTTTCCATTCTAGCTTCATCCCTTTATGAAGAAGAGTGTATTTTGTAATATTTCCCTTTGGAAACTGTACGTGGATCAAAATGGAGATATAGCCGCAGATCTAGACATTGTGAGCAGGGTGGTTGACCCCAAAGATTACTTCCTCAAAGGCAAACTGGGGAGTTTTGAAAAAAAGGGACTTTTTGTCAACCAAGATGCTCTTCAACAGCTAACGTCGCTCAACCAGGTGAGAAAAATATCAGTGTCTTCTCTCTATTGTCCAAAGATGTAACACCTTTTTCAAGCCAGCTAAGCATAGTCACCATGGCTTAATGGTCAAATGAAGCCATGTGAAACTGATGAGAGAGGCCATCAGGTGGTTGGATTGTGATTCTGATAGCCTTGCTTGTTCCTTGGCAAAGAAGAAGGCAGTTTCGTTTCGTAGTTTCTGAATTTGGTGTCAGACTGCATCCAATGAAATTCAGTCAAAACCAGGGTGAAACCAGACCAGTTCATACAGGTTCTGGGGAACCGCTAAGGATTTTTGGCATCGGTTCGCTGAACAGATATTATTATTATTATTATTATTATTATTATTATTATTATTATTATTATTATTATTATTATTATTATTATTATTATTATTATTATTATTATTCAAATTTCTATACCGCCCTTCTCCTTTCGGACTCAGGGCAGTGAACAGCCAAAATAAAACATTTATACATAAAGTACGATTAAATATAGATTTAAAATAATTAAATTTGGCCCATAGTTTAAAATTTATCAATTTAAAATCCATATCAAATTTAAAATCAACCATAAAATCATAAAATCAAGAGAGACCGGCTAACTGAAAGAGATGAGTTTTTAGGGCCCGACGAAAAGTCCGGAGGTCGGAGATCACTCGTATCTCTGGGGGTAGATTGTTCCAAAGGGTAGGTGCCACCACAGAGAAGGCTCTCCTCCTGGGGGTCGCCAGCCGGCATTGTCTTAATAATTATGCCTCCTTGGCCCC